CTAGTAGATTTAGCACTTGAATGGAATTATTTTGATGGCGTTTTACCAATATTACAAGCACGACAAAATGAACGTATCAACAATAAAAAAGACTTCATTCAGGTATACACGTGTTAAAAATGAACACTACTTGCTAGCACTAAGTATAACGATAATAAGCAAGAGTTCGATTGAATAAGATTTTTTCATATCCTATACTCTATTCTATGGACTTTCTATCCATATCCTGCTCGACGATTTTCAAATTTTGGTAGGCGTCAACATTAAGTTTTCTTCACTATGTTTCAGCATATTTTATTGATTTCTAACGATAATCAAATACTAAATTATCGCATACGTACAATGAGTGCCAAAATTATTGGACAACGTTTGTTTTCAATCTTTTTCCACTGATTGAAGCACTAGAAGGAACTCGAATAGTGATTTGACTGGAGGAGATTGTTCCCAACAAGAATATAAGAAAATAAAACTAATTATCATATACACAAAGATAAGGTCTACAGAAAATCCAAACCTTAGTTTTTTAGCATCTATGACGCATAAATATAATTTTGTTTAGACTGTTTATAATAATAGAGCAAACAATTCTCTACAAAATACGACGTCTTTGAGTTCTTTAAGACATTTCTCAGCTAAAATACAGCAATATGATTGAAAATCCGAAAATCTGTTTTCCTATAGGCAATAGTAAAAAAAGATTTTAGGGAATTTCATAATATTGATGTGCGTATCTCAGCTAAAAAATGTCATAGAGAACTCGATGACATCTCTATATAGTCAAAAGTATTGACTAAAAATAATACTTGATTTATTTTAGGCAGATATCAATAGGCAAAAGCAACTGTTCATGAAATCTCTTGAAAAAAATCGTTCAATATTTATTGAATATTTTCTAATATCTGGCTTTGATCTATTAACTTTAATTGAAAAAAATGATATTCCTAGCTATCACAAATTTATTTCAAATTTATATAACAAAAGTTATAAAGAAATGAACAAGGTTTGTTGCTTTTTTTTTTAACTAAACTTTTTGTTTTCTACTTAAACATTTTTATTTACTACAGAGTCATAAAAATCGTGTAAAAACATTATTTGGCTCATCAAATTTCAGATCACCACATGAACTCGATAATAAATTAAATAAATTTGTTGGGTCTTTTTTTGGATTGATCTATTCCTTTAAAGACGATAGTTTTCGAAATCGTATTAAAATTGATTTGCATAATCGTGTATCCCATTGTTGTGGATCGCATGGACATCTTGATGAAGATCATGAATTAAATGTTATTCAAAATGTTACAAAAGTTTATCCAACGGAAAACAACTATACAAAACATGAATTGTTACGTGATCTATTTTTATGGTCTATTTTTATGGATATGCCGGAAATGGCTAAAGTCTTCCTTTTTCATATTCGACCTCGTATTTGTGCTGCTCTTATAGCTTCAGCTGTATTTAAAAAATATTCCAAATTTTCACCGACAGTTGATATGAAAGATAAATTTCAAACTCAAGCATTGGAATTTGAAACATATGGTGCAATATTTACTGATAAATGTTATGAGTATAATGAACGACGTGCTTGTGAATTACTTTTACGACAAATACCACTTTTTGGTAATGTTACATGCATGCAGGTTAATTACAAATTTTATATTAAATTAAAATAATTTTCTTTTTCTTAGCTTGCTATTTCAAGTGCAAGTAGTAAATTACTTGAAACAGCTTGTTTTGATCAAACATTAAATCAAGTATGGTTTGATAAATTATCTTTGAGTGATCATCAACTAAAGGCAAAAGCATCAAGAATTCTTGCAATTATGACTTTTGGCTTAATAGCACCTTGGTTTGTTAGTTATCGAAAAGAAACTGACGAATCATCGAATGTATGTAAAATGATTGATTTTTTTGCAATTAGGGATCTTTTTTTTATATTTTATTGTAGAATACAAAAGATGATGAGTACGTAGAAATGAATGAATAATTTAAATATTTTATAAATAAGTTATTTTAATTATAGTCTATCTCAAGACGGTATAAACTATTATGTTGATGAACAAAATTCAAAAGAAGGAAAAGGTACAACTTCTTGGGAGCGTTTTCGTTATTTTCATGAAAGTCCAATGGTAAAAATGTCTTATCATTTTGTAAGTTAATATTTTAATTTTTTACATAACAAATAAAAAAAACAATTGATAAATTAGATTAGCTATTTGTGGTTTTTACTTGTATTCAGTTTTATGATGCTTTATCATCTTGATGGTCGTAATACATTTGATATTCCTCATTGGAGTGAAATTTATGTGATTATTACTGTTTCAACTATGCTGTATGAAGAAGCTCGAAGAGTAAAATTAATTTTTCTTTTTTGGAAAGATTTGTCTTTTTTTTTCTTTTGTAATATGAAGCTTTATTATCAATATGTTACACGTATGACCGAGCTATGGGGTTCAACTGGATCTACCGCTTTAACATTGTTGTCGAATGTATTTTATATTATGCCATATTTTTTGTTTTATGTGGGTCTTGGTTTTCGATATGCTAGTTACAACGAAGGTTTACTTTCTACTGCAAGGTTTGTGAAAGATTTTGAAAAATTGATAATGAATCGAATGTATTTTAGAATCATTTGGGCACTTGATCTTGAATTGTGGTATATTCGATCACTTAAGTTTGTTATAGCTTTAAAATTTTTAGGACCAAAATTATTTATGTTAAAAAATATGGTTAGTTAACAAAGGACGAGGGATATAAAGAGGACAAATCGACCGCTTGTCAGAAGTCTATTCCCATCAAAATTAGATCATTTACGACATTTCATATTGCATCTAAGTTGATTTATTTGCCCAAATGAAATGCCTTAAAAAGTCTGAGCGTGAAATGTGTTTCGATATTTATTCTTCCACTCAGCCATTTTTATGCTTAGTTGATTTGTACATCAAATTGAAGCTCTTGAATTTATCTACAGCTTATATCAAAATATACAATTTATTTCTTTGTAGTGTAGTGACGTACTATGACACGTTTAGAAATAGATCAATCTCAATGGGATTTATGAAATTATCGCAAAATAGCAAATGGGAAAGTGTGAGACTGTGTATTTTATTGGAGATGACCACAAATTAGAAATCTAGTGATTTCTACCCCGAGTTTTAAGCCCATCCTCATATGCTTCTTCTTTTCTTAAGAGTTAATGATCAAATCTGTGTTTGATATTATTTGAAAAGTGATGTTAAAATTAGCTTAATACGATGAAAATATTGCAAAGACGAGATGGGCACCTAAATGTCTCGGACGAAACGTTTGCGCCAAATATGGTGCCAAATAGTATGCTATTGGAATAAAAATGTTGCTCCTGAATCTTTCCTCTGTAGCACGCAGAATAGCATAAAATGTATGATGTGCTTTTCAATAAACAATGCTTTGGTAGAAGTATAAGATCAAAATGAGATAAGCGTGTGTATGTGAGCAAAGCATTATCATACTCTCTGTGTTGATGATACAACTGATAGTATATCCTGAATCAAAATGTCTAAAACAGATTTTAATTTTTACTCTATGACGAATACTTTACCGCTTGATTTTGTCAACAATCAATAACATAGTGTACTGAAAAATTAGGTCAGAGACATTCTTTATCCATATAGATATGAAGAAGTGTTTTCGAATTCATATGTATAATTCAAGGACAACATACCTTTCTAATGTTTTAGTGCACTTCCTTTTTTTTACGACTGATGTCTGAAATATTCCTAATTCAAGGAAAATGACGAACTCTCCCATTATTTTCTTCGGGTATTTTGGTATTATCCTGTACATCTCATTGAGATCTATTGACTGATGCATAACCCAGAGTGAACCTCTATTACCAAGAAACATTGCTATGTGGTGATCATTCTAACAGTCGCTATATTATATATATAGTAGTAATGAAACAATCTTTTCTTGTGTTTTTAAATATCATTCGATAGAGAAATTCATGAGTTTCAAATTTATGTAGGAATCGACTAAACATAAGAATGAATGAGTGAAGCAACAAGTATTGCAACACACTCCATTCTTGGACTTTTTAGAGTATTTCATATGGACAAGAGATGGGCAATTAAATTGACTTGGATGCAATATGAAATGTCATAAATACTCTAATTTTGATGGGATTAGACTTCTGGCAGGGAGTCGATTTGTCCTCTTAATGTTCCTCGTCTTTTATTAATAATAAATAATAAATTTTGAAAAAATGAATATTAATTTTAGCTTCGAGATTTATTTGCTTTCGTCTATATGATTTTTATAGCAATAGCTGCTTATGGAGTTGTATCTCGAGCATTAATTCATTATAAACAAGTACCATTTACAGGTCGTGGAATTTTTAGTGAAATTTTTTATGAACCATATTGGTTTATTCATGGAGAATTCTCAGATAAAGATTTACTTGATGGTAATTATGCTTTTACTTATTTTAAAATAATCTATTTGGTTTTCATATATAGAACGGATTAAGAATGGTACTAATGATGGAGGAGGAGGTGTTGCAGAAGCGACGGCAACACATGTTTTATTAGGATTTCATATGTTATTTATTAATATTCTGTTACTCAATTTACTAGTTGCCGTTTTTGCGTAAGTATCAATTGGAAATGTAAGCACGAGGGAAGTTTTGCTCACAACTTGCTTGTTCAGTATTTTTTTTTTGTCATTTCTAAGTTCCATACTGATGTTGATATAAACGAGTCATTAGAATATTAATCATATACTTCTTAAAAAGTATTGTATTCGAATAGCGATGCTATCGACGTATCTTCTAACTCTGAGCCCGTTATGTATAGTTAAAATCTCTGATCCTTCATCGTATACCTTAGCTTTTATCTTATGTGATACAGTTTTTGTACAATTCTATTTCTCTGATGTTCTTTTTTGAAAGAAAAATACGATGCAGCAGTCATACCCTCTCGAACGGACTAAACTAGCTTGTTCTGTTCAAGAGTCATGCAACTTTTTGTGGGAGCCAAATTTTAACCAATTGAACTGTGATCACCAGGAAATACATTTCTGCAGGGGTAATTCACCATGCTGAGTGTAATGGTGATGTTTGCTGTTAGGTTCGCACTCATCTGACTCTGTTATGACAATATCTCTAAAGTTTCACAATGAGCCTTCATGTAACGAAGAAGTCGACGTTTCGGAAGTATTGCAATAATAATACCAGATCAATTCGAACCGAAACTCAATATCACCATTGGACTCAGCATGGTAAATTACCTTTACTTAACTGGTTTTCTACGTGATCACAGATCAATCGGTTGGACCGCATGAAAAAATGAACTCACTGAAGAGCCTGCTTTTGATTTTTAAATATATGCCATTATGTCATCGAATAGCTTTAAACAAATTTCGAGGTTTCTTTATCATGTCTAAATGATGTTTTAATGTCAGTTCAGTTTTCATCTGGTCAGTGAGAGGACCAGGCGTAGATTTTTCGGCGCAAGGGAAAAACCAAGTTCTAGAAATCTTTTTTATACTTATTCCGAATATGAAATTAGTTTTGACTAAAACTGAACTTATGTTGGGCGAAATCTTTCAAATTTTAACCAAAAAGACAAAAACACGCGCCTCGAGAATGGTGTGCTTAGAGTATTTCTTTTACTTTGGAAAACATGATTTTGAAGCTTTTTAAAAGGTTCATCAATTGAGAAATAAATAGTATTTTGATCACGTCAGTTTTTTAAAAATAAAATGTTAATTAAAGAATAGGATAGATTATTACAATAATGCCTGAAAATGGATTACTTTGTCGATAGCTTTTACGTTTCAAATCAATCAAAACCGTAAGAATTCGGTACACAACATGTTAGTCTATACACGCTCTAACTACTGATCTATAATTCAATGGACCGTGACTGCTGCTAGTCAGAGACTATTATGGATCGTATATAAATAATGTCCCATTATAATATATGAACGAGTTCCTTATTGCATTTCTGAAAGATTAAGTAAAACGATGGTTAAGAAACGTACGTCAAAAGAGATAGTGTACACCAATATTCTTGTGATTAGCAACAGCAGCTATATCGTACTTCACATTTTAATCCTGCAGGGATGGCGCTACCGGCCTTTTCATTTCGAAATTACTGTATAGTAACTAATAAGATGATTAAGAAGTTGTAAACATTGTCTATTTGAACTATCTCAACTAGCTTTAAGTACCATTTGTTGACTGCAGCCATAGCCACTCCTGTGTGTGGTGTTATTTTATAAGATTTTGTCAAAATGATCATAAATGAAAAAGTAGACTTTTTAAAATATAAATATTCAAATTGTTTTACATAAATATTTTCATTTTGGATACTACTTTATTTTTCAATCTAGTGATTCTATCGGTAAAGTTCAAGCAAACACAGAATTTTATTGGCGCTATCAACGTTATTCATTTGTACGCGAATATTTCGAACATTTACCATTATCGTATCCTCCATTAATTATTATCTCACATATCATATTAATTATTTTGACTATTCAAAATATATGTTGCCCAAAATTGGGTCGAAATAGAGTAGCACATAATCATTATGTGCCAATATCAAAAAGGCTTGCACGTACTTTTAGTAAGTTTCAAAGAATCTTCATTGTTTTAAAATTATTTTATATGTAAATATGAAAAAAAATCATACGCAGTGTCACAGAAGTTATCACCAGTAAAAAAAAAACAATATGTATAACACCATTACTAAACAAGCTTAATCTAATATTTATTTCATTTGGAGGAGAACATAGAGTTTCTTTTTTATCTAAAACACATTTAAAAAAAATTGTTCAAAGGCGCTGTCTTTTACTTCTATGCAAAAATGCAAGTGCTTCACAATTTCCAAAAAAAATATCACACGACGCTTCTTTTTCTATTACTTTGATTTCTTTCGTTGTTCTAGTCTTTCGATCATCTAAATATTATAATACTCGTTTTGACCCACCTCTTCCAATCTACCTGTCATCGAAAATTTTATTTAGTCATGCGTTAACCAATTTTGAGAAATGTGCTGATAACTGTATCGTTTCGACGAATGATTTTGTCCAGTCATTGAAATGCTATGAGTATCTTTCACATAAAACATAACTTGCACTTTCACTTTGAAAATCAAAATAGTGATTTTAGTGAAGAACTTAGAATCTCATACTCTGGTGTGGCGACACTAAAAGTTTCAATACGATGTGTAATGACAAGAAAAAAACAAATTATTGGACCATTTTGTTTTTGATCAAACACTTAATCCAGATAACTACTTTGATATGCTTCAGAATTATTTCCATCTGATTTTACAGAAGAAATGACTAAGCAAGTTCATCATTTTCGAGCAACATGGAGCAAAAACAGCGTATTTGTCAAAAACGATCTACGCGTGGCTAAATAAAAATTTCGATAAAAGTTGAATTGAAAGATTTAGACCTTTTTCATGCATATCTTCTTCACCAGACTAGATATCATCGGATTTTTTTTATGGGAACACCTTAAAACAAATATCTACAAAACGACAGTGAAAAATCTCAATGACTCAAAGACTAGATTGACAAAAGAAATGGAAACAATAGAAAAAAGAAACGTTGGGTAATCTACGTATTTTAAAGAAATTGTGAAACGCTTGTTCTTCTGTATTGAAGTCAAAGGAAATACTTTTGAATAGTATTTATAAAATTGTATTAGACAAAAAAATTCTATGCTTTCAGGTCTACCATAACGACGGCGGTCTTCTGACCGTAAATTAGCTTTTTGATGGGCACAGTATTAAGGTCGCATAGGGCGAAATGCGTAAATAGTTTACAATGAAAACGCATGCTGTTAAACTGTCTTGCTTCCGATAGAAAGTGAAACGAGAGATATTAGTAAACTATTGTTTCCCATATCATAGTACATATCTGCTTATTTATACAAGTCCCTCACAACTGTAACTTTAGACATATACCCTTAAACTTGTACTCTTCAGTTCATACCCATTAGCCTACACCTTAAACCTATAGCATTACGCCTACATTCACACACCAATATCTTAGATCTATAACTTCCGCCTATATTCTTATACCTATGGTCTTTTCACAATACTCTTATATCGATAGTTTTATGATTATATCACCATATCTGAGCTCTCATACATAATCGCGTACAGATGTATCATTTCAACTATAGCCTTGTAGCTATATTCGTTTTGTTAAATAGTTCATCGCATTTGTAGGCACTGAGATGAATGATGTGTGTCAGGCAGTAATTACGCACGATGTAGTTTTAATCAATCTATTGTTTTTGACAGTCTATGAAATCAGTGGAGACCGTTGACGTTAACGGCTATTTAAGAATAAATACAATGGAAAACGATAATCATATATGAAACCGTTTACAGATGATCTATACAATGACTTATGATGTTAAACCAAGCACTGCTAACTAGGATCCTAGCTTTACGGTAGTCGTAAACAGCATTGTTTTACGGTCATTATTTAAGATGATTGTAATATACTATAAAATATCGTTCATCATTGGTGTAAACGTTCAAGTGTAAGATCGTGAGTGATTGACCTGAGGATTTCCTCTTCCAAAAATAATTACATCAAGTTTATTTAGCAATCGAGTTATATGGATTTCTTACATAATAATCACATTTGGAACATCCTTTAGAAATGATTCCAATACAAGAATCACAAAATGAGCAGTGGGATTTATTTGAAAATGCTGCAACGTATAGTTCTGCTCGTTCAATATTACAAAAAAATAAAAACAATGATACTTTAACTACTAATCATGGAAAATCAAGTAAAACATTGACTACAATAAAGTATGTTTGTTGTTTTTATGTTGATTTTAGCATTTTAATTATTATTTTTATAGCTCGAATGTTGAAAAAAACACTGTAGGCCAGCACAAAACACTAGAAAATTTATATGAATTAATGTCAACATTTCAATCAGTTATTAGTGAAACTCGACAAGAATTAAAAGAAGTATTGAGTTTTATTGATATTTTCAATTTTTTTTAGAATAAATTTCCTCTTTTGGTTATTTAGACCAATTCAAGAATGGAAAGTCGTTTCGATCAGGTAGAGATTTTTTAATATTTCTTTTCAAATATTTTTTGAGAATTTTTTTTAATATTGAAGATTAGTAAATCGCTTGAGTCGATGAGGAATACAACTCAACATGGGAAAATGAGCAATGAAAACGTTTCAAGACCTACATCGAGAACATCTGTAAAAAGTGATGTTTCCTTGAGAAATCAAGCAACAACATTAATCAGAAACTCTGTTCAGTAATTAGTGTTGCTGATAAGAAAAATAAATTTTATTTTTTGCATGATTTTATTCTCGATTACTATTCCGTATTTCAAATTTGACTTAAAATTGACGCAGAAAACTTTCCATTACATTACATATGTATAAATACAGGATGTCTTAAAAGTCTTTGTACCAAAAACAAACAAAAAATGAATATTTTCGCTATTTTTCGACAGCATGAGTTCAGTTTTTAACGGAGACAAAACAATATTCATAGTTCACATTCAAAAGAGAAATATGAAAAAAGTGAATAATGTAATGTGCATATTATCATTCATTTTAGTAAATTAGTACTCTATACATTAATAACTTATCTACATACATACTTATTCTTAAATTATTACATGACAGAAAAATCTCAAGATATTTATATAAAAATTGAAATCTTGTTTTCAAACTCGAATTTTGAAATGAAACTCACCGTTTAAACTTGAGTGTGGGGATGGATGTTGCCTTTTGAAGTTCATGTTACTACCCACATCCTCGAGCTAGTTTTCGTGTAACATCGAATTTTACTAAAGACACTAGAATACGAGAGTCAATTATTGGTGAAAAACTAAGATTTATTCAAGAACTTGAATCTATTATTGTCATGAATAAACGAACTGTTATGTGAACTGTTCGTGTTAAACATGATTGAACACCTGAATTTAAATGATAAATATAGTAAAATATAATAGTCATTTCTAAATTAATAATTAAAAAAATTATAGCAAAGAACGCAGGTACTTTTGAATTACTAGTTGAGAATACTCTCGGTTGAATTGATTGCATTAATCAAGTACATTTGTTACTTTATCTATATCAAAAGTTCATGTGCATGAAGGTAGAATTTATAAATTAATATAAAAAAAAACGTCTTGTTGATTCAATTGAAAAATTATTTGATGTTCATTTTCAAAGTGTTTCTCAACTACTAAGAAATCTTAAAGTTGATACTATGCATGTAGAATTCATTCATATTACATTGGAAGTACCATTAGATGATATTCACCATTTGTTTGATGTAAATGTCTTTCAAGTGAAACATTCCATTACAAATTTAATCGTTTAACAATAGGATCACAATATACAATAAGAGAATTAGCAGAAAACAACTGATGTTAATCTGAATCGACCGGAATAATTGAAGCATTTATTGCAAGAAATTCAGTTGATGTACTCTAAACGCACCATGAGAACTTAAATTTATTGGTGTAACAAGATCAACATGTCCGTTACAATCGTTATCACCAAATAATGAAGATGAAGCATCAATTGAAAATTATATGATTGAAAGACAAATAGAAAAACGTTGGCTTCGGGCTATACCAGCATTAACAACAGAAGGAACAATTGTACAATTAATTATTATAGTCGTCCAAGTGAATCTGTTACTATTTAAGTTTCATATGATGTTTCAACATAACCAGAACCGATTGATATAAATGAATTAACTGATACAGCATGTATACTTTCATGGAAACCATCTATTCGTGATAAGAGTAGTTCAACTATTGCATATATAATTGAACAATGTTTTAAATTTGAATCATTATTTACGNCCCACACCCATATCCACATCCTGATGTATAAACGACTGTTACTAGATTAGTGTTCAGCAAAGAGTGAACGAATATTAAACAGCTCATGAACGTAAAAAATTAAAAGATATTGTACGACAATGAAGAAATGAACATTTTTATGAATTAAGTACTATGATTTTGATTAAAAATTCCTTTTCATGGCATTGACTTCATCAATATATTTGTTTTATCATTCAAAAGGCCAATTTTTTTGTTTTTCATCTAAAAGTCATGAATATGATAAAACTTTGTTGATTATCGAACTTTATAGTATGGTATTCATCGTCAAACGACGATAGAATAGTCGCAAAAATGATATACTATTCCTGTTTTATAGTCGACTTCGACGAGATGATAATTTTCTAGTAAACTTTATTAAAAAGACGTGGTTCTTGCATTCTAATTTTCAAACGAAAATTTTACATGATTTGTCTGAACTATTACGATAGATATTCAAAGGAATAAAGGCTTCATTCTGATCGATAAGTTTTGAGATTTCGTAAAAGAAATCGAATTATTCTACGCACGTCTACTAGCATTGAAGCAGAAAGATATTTTTGAAAATTGACCATAGAATGTAGAAATTTCTCTATTCTAATAGTCAGTCTATCTTAGCGCAAACCTGTCCATTGGATAACAAGTATGATTGCAAAAATGTGCTCAATCTGATGAAGATAACATTTATGAAAATAATATTCAAAAACGAATAGTTTAGTTCTAATCACAAATGAATGCAGTCCGAGAATTGTAACTTGCTTTCGAGCAAGGACTTTTTCTGATTCAAAAGATAGCATAGATTCTCTCTTGCAATAGTATACTAAAAACACAATCAATTTCAGCGTGCTTAGGGTGTGGGGTGTGGGTGTGGGTGTGAGTGTTAGTCGTGTCTTCACACACACCCACGCCCATCAACATGCACACCCACACCCACACCCACACCAACAACACAATCAGGAACAACTGCAATATCTATGAATAATGCATCATTTTCATGGACAGAATCGATTTGTTTAACTAATCTTACAGTGAATATAGAATCTGATACATTAGTCGGTTTTGTAGGATCTTTTGGAGCAGGTAAATCATCATTATTATCTGCTATTTTGGGTGAAATGACATTAGTAAGTCGTGATGTAAGAGTGTTTGGTTCATTTGCATATGCTGCCTAAACTCCATGGATATTTGCAGATACTATCCGTGCTAATATTATTTTTGGTAAGCCATTTGATGAACAATGTTATACAAATATCATCCAAGCATGTTGTCTTGATATTGATTTACTTACATTTGGAGATGTTGGTGATTTAATCATTGTTGGTAAAAAAGGTGTTAATATTAGTGATGGACAAAAAGCACGAATAGCATTAGCACGAGCATTATATATCGATGCTAATATCTATTTCATTGATGATCCACTGGCTGCTGTAGATCAAGAAGTAGCTCGACGAATTTATGATCAATGTATTGGACCAGATGGATTATTAAAAGGCAAAACACGTCTATTAGTTACTCATCAAACACATTTTTTAAATGAATCAGCAGATCAAATCATATTTTTAAAAGATAGTCAAATTGATCCTGAAGGACATCTTGAACAAAACAAAGAAATCCAAACAACAACAACAACGGCAAGAAATGATCAAGAAATTGAAAAAGAAGGGATCGAACCATTATTATTTGATATATCTAAATTTACGACAGATAATAAATCAATTGTTGTTAATGAAACAGCTGCTATTGGTACTGTAACATGGTCTCTATGTTATAAATTATTTTCTTCCACTCCTTTTGGTTGGTTTGGTTTTTGTTTACTTATTATTATCATGCTATTGGTGAAGCAATCTTTGATGTTTCTAATCGATGGCTTAGTTTATGGTCAGCACAATCAAATGAAGAACAAAGATCACCTATTCATATGTATGTTTATTTAGGTTTAACATTATGAACATTGATTATTGCTTTAATACGTGCTCAATATTATTATTATTTAATCTTATGTGGTTGAAATCATTTACATAATAAAATGTTAAAAGCAATGTTATATACTTCACTTCATTTTTTGAAAGTAATCCTAGTGGACGAATTTTAAATCTAGTTAGTAAAGATCAGCAAGTGATTGATGACTTATTACCAATGGCATTATTTGATGCATTATAATGTTTATTAATGGCATTAGGTTCATTAGTATTTATTGGTATTGTTAATCCATGGATATTACTTATCCTGATTCCTCTTTTACCTGCTTTTTGGTGATTAAGACGTTTTTATTTACGTTCAAGTCGTCAAATAAAACGATTAGAAAGTATTACACGTAGTTCTGGTTATGTACATTTTTCTTCACCTTTAAATGGTGGACTTCCAACTATTATTCATGCACTTTATGTACAAGAAGATTTTCTACAATTATTTATTCATCGAATTGATACATATTCACGTGCTTTTTCATATTAATTGCTGCTGAACGATAGTTTGGTTTACGACTTGATTTGATGACATCAATACTTTCTTTAATTACATCGGTTATAACAATAGCATTTCGTCATCGAATTGATCCATCATCTGCTGCACTTAGTCTTATGTATTGTATTAATTTAACAATGCTTTTTCAATGGGCAATTAGACAATCAGCTGAAGCAGAAAATTATATGGCAAGTGTTGAAAGGATTTATGAATATGGACAATTAATACCAGAAGAAAACGAAAATAATCATCAGTGATTTCTTCAGCCACCGAAATGATTAGCCAAGTCGACGATCCATTGAATTTAAGATATATTCAATGCGTTATCGAATAGAATTAGAGCCTGTTCGTAATAATAGTCTTTGAGAGTAAAAAACCCAAAATAGACTGCAGAGGGTGGTACCAACTAGTATTCAGAGTTTTTCTCTATGGATCTACATTTGAATGAACATGGTAGAATTAAAAACTAAATAAAATGACCATCGAAGAAATCTGTTTGTATTTCTCATTCTCGTGCTTTTACAACACTAAAGCAAAAGATTCACTTATGTTTTTCTTATTCATGATAGTTTTCTTTTTTGTTGGATCTTTTTTCAAATAAAATTCTACAGTAAAGCTTATGAATTTAAGTGATGCAGATTATATCATTTACTTCTCTTGTCTTGTGTTGATACTTATGTATTTTGTTGGTTGACCGATGTGTGTGGGTGTGGGTGGGGGCATGGGTGGGGGTGGGGGGGGTGGGGACGAGTGGGGTGTGAGTTTGAGTGTGTGTGGGGGTCAACCTTCTCATCAGCTACACCTATATTCACACCCACACATCCACACCCAGACACCCACACCTATGCCTATACCCACACCCACATCCTTATAGATACAGAAGCAATTACAGCAACACATAGTAGCGATTAGTAACTTCATAAAAAATCATAGAAGATACAGAGGCAAGTATTGACTCGTTTCTTTCCTTATCTTCCATTGAGTAGGGCTGCAATAACGAACATTACACATGCAACTATAAAAAAGCAATAATGTGCTCAAGTTATGCTATAATGTGAAGAGGAAATCACGTGATCAACATGAAAATCTGCATGCATCAAGAAAAGAAGATCATTCTTTCTGTTTATGGTAGCTATTCATTTTTACGAAAGCAAGTGCACTGGATAAAAAAGCATAGAATAATAAACTGTAGGAAAGAATTTATGAGCCTCATCAATACTATATCAAATACGAAATTTTCATAAACTCTCAAAGAATTTATTGTCTTGCCAACTATGGAAGTATATATAACAATGCAACGTAGAATAAGTCCTCAGTGACTTTACGAAATTAGTATATATTCGAAAACGGTTTATGAAAACTTGATGTAAGATTTATTATCCTTCTTTTTTTACTGTATGGCATAGATACGCACTACAACTATTACGCTGAATTTTTTCATATTATTAGAGCATGCTCAGTTCAGAACCGAAATGAGATAACCACTAGTTAACTTGATAGAAATATAGAGCAAGTTCTGCTCTACAAATCAGATATCTCACGAGCCTGTATTATAATTGGTTCGAAATGTGTAAGAAATGTTTTAGAAGTTAAAAACCAAAACTAGTTTTGATTTTGATAGTTGCAGCAGTCATAAAATTCTCAATATCCATTATACAATATTGACAGATATCTTATTTTGTGTGCCAGTGCTTACTCTATATTTCCGGCACCTTAATTTGAATGCACGATGTCTTTTCTTTCACCTCTTATAAGACGAAAAATTCACCCTATTGGTTTTAGTGCATGCTTACATAGAATCCTACTAAAATAGTTTTTTTCAATTTCTTTCTCCCATTACCGCTACCACGAAAAAAATTGTTCCTGCAAGATTTTAATGCCTAGTACGGCTCAAATGTATTTACTGTACTGATTTTCATTGTGAAGAAAATGTCGCTCATATTTGAATTTTGTGTATCACTCTCTGTAACAGTCTGAAAGTAAAGATGAAGGTCTGTGAAAGTGAAGAAAAAAACATCATCCATCCTCAAGATAGTTGCTTCGTTTCATTTATGAACGTGGTAAAAATATAAGTTATATACGATTCGAAAGAGAAAAAAACCTCTATCTTCTGGTTAAAAAAAAACATTTCTTTCAGCATCCTTCTGCCCAAGAGAAATAGAAGCCGACATTTGTTCGGTTACTTTTGCATAATAGGTTATTTTTTGTTTACTTCGGCTATCGACAATAACGAGGTAGGTTGGGTGTGATCACGTCACTTGACTGCCAACGTTTTGTAATGAATTTTACATAATTGATTTTCACATTGAAAGACGTATCTATGGCTACGGACTGTGCACTCATCATCATCACTGTCCCTAACGATCAACAAAATGAGGTCCATGGGCAAAAAACAGCGGTAGAAATTTATTTATTGCTCTGACCATATCATGTCTCTTCTTTTATTAGAACGATACACCACCGTCACCCTGCGTCAAGTTGAAGGCCTATCTGGCCGAGAAGATAAATGACGAACTGGTGTGGATGTCCTCTATCGATCAAAAGATCTTACAAGTCACTTTTCATGCTGAATTAGGCATTGAAAGTGATCGAATATTGTACGATTTGAACATGCTCGATATTAACAAGAAAAATGGTTGTCAAGTGTGCGTGGTTCCTGCTACGGTGATTGTTGGCTTTCGAGATCGGGTGCATAGTACCTATCTTGATACAAGTATGAAGAATGACTCAAGTGACGAGAGTCAGCTAATTATGTCTCAAAGAAAATCATCCGCAGATACAGTGCTAAGAAATCGAATTTATAAACATATTAATGTGTCGAACTTTAAGAAAAGTGTTCGAGCTCGACTAATGGTGCATCAAGTAGTGGCTGGTATTCGAACTACTACAGCATTATCGTTCGATTTTATCGTTCTACTCAGTCTTGCTTCGATGCTTGCTGCCTTCGGCCTCCTGGAGAGCTCATCAGTGATTATTGTGGCTAGTATGTTGGTTAGTCCTCTGATGAATCCAATCATGGGCATCGTTTTTGGTCTATCGGTGCGTGAGCATTCATTGTGGCGGCGAGGTATTCAAAATGAGCTGATCGGTCTGACTCTGTGTATCTTGTGGGGCTTTGTCATCGGGTGAGTAAGATGCGAGAATAAGAACGATCGTGCTTTTATCAATCAATAGGTTGTGCACTACGCACGCGGAGATAAATTGGGGAAGTTCCACCAGTTTTCCAACATCAGAAATAAAGGCTCGTGGTGACATCAAACGATTATGGATTGGTGTTTTGATTGCATTGCCCAGTGGTGCGGGTGTTGCTTTGTCAGTGCTCGGTGGTAACACAGGTGAGACAAGACTTTACAATATTTGGATAAGTGTTCTTTTTGTCAACCTTAGGTTCATTAGTCGGTGTGGCTATATCCGGTAGGAAAATCTTTCTTTTCGCGGTCCTGCTCGTTTATTGACTTTGTTTAGCATCACTTCTACCACCCGCCGTCAATTGTGGCCTCCTTTGGGCATATGCAGCATTGGCTCAGAAAGTTACCGATGGTGTTTGGGGCTATGTGATCGATGGATCGAGCATACAAGCCAATGTGGAATATTTTCCGTTTCAATATCGTCTGCTTTCAAATGCACCTATCTTCAATTGTTCTAAGCCTCTGGGCAATGATTATTTGCCATACTATTCATGTAATATGGCTCGAGAAGCAGCGATTCTCGGCAGTTGTAGTCTTCTTTTGACTGTAGTGAATATAGTGTGCATCATTATCATGGCTTCGATTGTTCTTCGTATTAAAGAAGTGGTACCATTAAATCAAGCTAATAAAGCCATTCAAACATTCTTTCATCATGATGTCAAAGTAGCTCGTGATTATAATCGAACAATTTATGAGAACGAATGTATTCCTGGAATAAACTTCGCAACATCAAAACGGGACATGAATGTCTTTTCTAAATCCATAGGCGATCATTGGAAAGGGCTTGCATTATTTAGCAAAGACGAGCATCCCCAATTGGCGTACAGAGTTCGAACGGACTCGACATGTTATCCGACGACTCTTGCCGATATGAATAATTTGCAAATGTATGCAAAAGACTTTGAGCTCGATGTTTTCGCTGAGAAAGATCGCGAATTATTGACACCAGACAGCAAAGAAAAAGTCTCCTGTTTAGTCAAGAGTCTTCTCGACATGTACGAAGAAGATCCACCGACATTTGTAGACTTTTGTCGCTATCAACCCTACGGAGCCCAAACATCAGCACAAAAAGAACATTTCACTTTCTATGAACATCTCATTGAACTTCTACCACCAAAATGGTACGATTTGTTCAATCGTGAACGACGTCGTCGTCTAGATATCGCTCAATCTGGCAGACAACGATCAAATTCGTTCGCTGTTCCTGCTGGTCCATTTACAAATCCTTCTCGATTAAATCAGTCACTCAATGAACAACATCATAGATCTAGATTGATTCGACTTTCAATGAAAGAATCGAAGCCAAGTCACAATCATCCATCGACTCATGTCGATGAACGAGCAGTAGCATCCGATGAGACACTTCAACATAACATGGAACAGACTCAAGCAAGATAAGCATTGCTTGATAAGTTCCTCCAATCGACACAAGTATGAACACTTTTCTTAACATTTCTCTTCTGCTCATTGTTATTCTCGCTTCTTGTTTTCTTCGTCATATCATAATAGCTGTCTCTATAGAAGGAACAGTTTAATTGGAACTTAATCATCAAAACACAAACCATTGGAAATCTTTGTTTTTTGCAGACCGTAGCTTCTTGAAATATCTGTGAACTCGATGGATCCATGAATTACCGGTATTGATTGTTCTGATCTGATAGATGTTTTAGATATCAATATTTCTTTTAGCTAGCCTTCTTTACCTTTTGAGTACGAGATTATCTTTCAAAAAAAAATGACAATTTTCGAAGCCTCTCTAGAAAGCGATAGTCTTTGGAGTAATCTACAATACACAACTCTACGTCACATTCAATACATTTATATGAAGTATCTCTTCATGACTTAGCTCTTTTCATAGTACGAGAACAAAGTGAAAATTGGTGAATTGAAGGGTGTGGGTATTGAGTTACTCATCACTGATATCCACAGCCACACCCTTTTTCGAAAGTTTTTTTTAGATTGTGGCAAGTTTTGATCAATCTTATTTCACCCCCGGTCAATTTTCTAATGGGTGTGCGTATGGGTGTGGGTGTGGTGTGAGTGTGAGATGTGGTGTGGGGTGGGTGTGGGCGTCGGTGTGAGGATGTGGGGTCTGGGTGCGGGTATGGGAGTGTGGGAATGTAGATATCGGTGTGAGTAAGAAAGAAACAAAGTCCTATATACACACCCCACAGTCACACCTCACACGCACACCCACCTACACCCACATCCTACCCGGGCATTATCATCGACTTTGACGAACTCTTTTGCAGATTATATTGAAATCTTTCAGTATAAACATTCAAAATGTCATCTAAACAACAGCATAGACTGAATAAAAATAATGATAGTTATTTAGAGTGGTTACTCTGTTATTATGGTAAACAAATTCCATCAACTTCTAACAATTAGAGTTTATTGATAACTAAAATTTACCTATCAGTTTGATAACATTGATGAAAACAACAAAAATTGATTGGAATAAAGAATCCACAGAACAAGAATAGTACAGAACACTTATTTATTTACGAGAGATAATTGAAAAGAACTTGGCATAAAATCTTATTTAGAAGATATTTCTGTTTTGTTCTCTCTTTATTTTGCTCAAATATATATATATTTACAAAATAAATAGGATTTACAATAATAACAAATGGCTTGTTTTGATTGAAAAGCTAGAAAAGTTTTTCTATGATTATATAAATTGTTTGATATTAATACTAGACTGTAGAACAAATCATAGTAGAACTTCTGAAAACATATAAGAATAACAAAGAGTGGGTGTGGGTGTGTGGGTGTGGTTCTTCTTTCCCTTCGACAGCCGCCATCCGCACCCACCCCCATCCCCACATGCACACCCACACCCATCATCATTTTTTCAAACCACAAAATCCTACCTTTTAGCCAATAATAATCATTTTCATGACTTTTCATCTTTTTGGGATAGCGACTTTTTTCTATGACTACAAACCATAATTGGAATCATACATATGTATGTTTTTATAGTACTGAGTTAGTGAACTCTACACATCATTATATCATGTAATGCGTAGCACTTATATATGGATCGAGTTGATACGAGACTTTCGAAAAAATGAGAAAATAGCAAAATAGCCTATTTTTGGGTATGCTGTTCGGCATCATAATAAAATGAGTAGTCACCGATTTTCTTTCAGATGAATGCATATGTCTAGTGTTTATCTAAGGATGCAGAACACATATTTACATGCTAGTAGAGTTATTTCAACTCACTTCTTTGAAGTTTTTGAAATTGGATAGAATGAAAAAGTTCTATTTTTGCATACGTCAACTGTTGGTACCTCTGACACGAATACGAAAATGATCATCTGTTTTGATGAAATTTTCAATGTTTGTAGAGCTATTATTTTTAAGCATTCTGATTAAAAAAATTTCAAGTAGCCTTCCTTTTTTATGGGGATAGATCCAAAGTAGTTTAAGCACTGAAAAATCGAAAAATCCCAAATATGTTTTTTTTGCACTATATTAACAAATTGTTTTTGGTGATTTATTTCACTGAAATTAGATCAAGAATAAAAACATTGACTATATTCAGATTCCCCGTGAAAAGGCACATCAAATCATATTAAAATTGGCTTCATTCTGAAAAAGGTTTGAATGTCATACAGGTTCCGACAATTCGTCGTCCGCACAATATTACACATTCATGTTGTGTCCGCGGCAGGGTTGCCAGATCGTCCGAATTAGTCGGAATTTTCCGAATTTCCTAAGTTTTTCTGACTGCCTTCCGACTTTCCGAATTTATCCGATTTCTTGAATTTTTTCCGATTCTTTCCGAATTGTAATATTTTTTTAAAATTTCCTTTCCATTATAATTTTCCATATAATTTTTGATAGATTTCATATGGCGCTATGTTTATTTTCTTAGAATCATTGGATAATTGATTTTATTCTTACAAATAAGAAGAGAAGGGAGAGAAGAGAAGATTTAATATGATAATTTTTTCTTCAAATCTCATCTCGTCTAACATTTGTTAGAATAGCTTCAATCAATGTTTAGTTTTCAAAGAAGTCATATAAATAAATCATATCTCTAAAAACCTTAATCTAAATGTAAATAAATGTCGTTTTACATTTTCATAACTATATTTCAAAATAAACTGAACGTTATTATGGATGATACATCAGATGATTCGTCTATTAGTATGACCGTGAGTGTAGAAGAACAAGAATCTATTCAACCAACAACAATTTCAAATTCCAAAAAATGAGAAAAGAAAGGTGTTTTTAAAAAAGGATTGGACATTAGATAAAGAATTTTCATCTTGGTTACAGGCAGTGAAAGCTTAAAAACGACTTTCCGAATTTTTTTCCGAATTAGCCAGATATTTTTCCGAATTTTTCCGAATTCAAGCAAAAAAATTCCGATTTCTAAGATTTTGATCTGGCAACCCTGATTAAAAGTATAAATATTTAACGCATATGATGGTAATTGTTTCTATTTCACAAGCAAAATTAAAAATAATAGATTATGTGCATTGAGTTTGACTGACATATATGCTGGTTTAGTGATGAAATATTTACTTTTATTATTTTGAGTTGTCTGCGTTGCATTGAATGTTTTAAATTTGATCCATGTAAACCAAAATCGGCATAGAGAGACTACGCACCAAGCAGATTGTAGCCCTAAAATTACATTTTACTTAATAAGAGCATTTTTCGAATAAAGGTGTTTCTATTATCTACTAATAAATGTGATTAATGAGAGTACTTACGTTTAGTTCTTGTTTTTTTTTCAATATAAGCTACTATGATCATTTTTAACATTTGAAGATAGATCAAAGTTTCTCAAGTGTTTACATTCTCACTTAAAATTTGAAGAAAATCATTAGATGCTATTTTCAAATAGAAGCTAAAGTTTTCGCGATCTTTAGGGTTAATGTCGGATTTTGTTAAATAATGGTCGAATTTAGTAAATGCTGGATTATCAATAATATCTTATAAGTGATTGATCGATATAATTTTTTTTCCAATACATAATTCTGCTGTTGACGATAATAAACGATTACGCTATTTAGTAACCAAACGTGTGCATCTTGAAGAAATAATAATAGTCGTTGTTTTCTTAGATAAAACCAAGACCAATGTGATGTTGTTTGTATTTCAAAACAGTTTGTGGATGTTGATGAATTTGAATATTAGGAATAGACCCAAAGAATCTACTAACCAAATGTATAGAACGTAAATATTTAGGATCAGCGTCTATAAAAAAAAGATCCTTAATAAGTAATAGCTGAACTAATAATATGCAATTATCCGCTTACCAGTTGAAAAACCAATTATTCTTATTTCTCTTTGTAAAAATTGATTAAATACGTACCACCACCACCATCTTTGAATTATATCATCAGCTGTGGTTGTGTTTTTAACGCCATATGCTGATAATAAAAAAGGGCTTGGAATCATGCTCTGGTCTGTAGATTGCAATGGTTACACCATACGCACATTTAATAATGATGATGTTTCAATTGAATTAAACGATAATTTTAAAGTATCAAATGAATCAGTTTGATAATGTTCTTTAATCGGTATTCCATGAGCAAGTGGTGTAGGAAATCCGATAAATGTTTTTTTTGTCGAATCATATTAGTTTACTTTTTTAAAAACACTCGTCGTGTCTTCCGAACCAAATGCCTGCTGAACATTAACACTTTCAAAATTATTTTTTTGAAGTCCATCAAATCTAAATTCTGCTTCGGCAATCTTTAAATTTGAATTTGAAATCAATGTATTTAACATAGTTAAATTCGGTACAGAGTCGGGTAAGTTCAATCGTATGAACTCATGCAAGAGCCCCCTGCCCCCCCCCCCCATCCCCTCTCCCAAAATGTATAACGATAAAGCAAAATTTTTAATACAATCATTGTATCGAAAATGATTGCTTGGTTTAGTCAGATTATGAATAATCGTATTAATAAAATCTTTTAAAAACTCATATTTATTATCATAATTTGTACTATCTTCAACAACTAGCTGACATCAATCAATTAAGTTTTTTTTAACAAACGGATGCTTGTTGATAAAGTCATATGATAAACCAGAATATGTTTCAACATAGTCACTTTTAATAGTTAGTTTTTGTTGTTGTTGTTTCAAAAAATCCAATAGACAGTTTAAATTATTTATTAGTCCGACTTTCACAATGAATTTTCCATTATCAAGTTGAAAACATGACTTTTGTCTGATTTTTAAGAAATCAGGTTCAGAACAATCCATGTTGAAGATTTTGAATATATTTGGGTTTCGAATAAGAGATTGTGTAGAAGTAATTGATTGAAAACTTCAAATATTCACAAGTTGTTGTCCCACTAGTGTATCAACAAAAGTATAAAAGTATTCATTTTTCAAATAGAAAACATTTTCAATCAAATTATTGTCCATCAGATAAAAAATTTTATTTTATTTTTTTGTTTATTTTAAAGAAATAGAAAACAGTAAGTTCAACAAAAATCGTATGGAACTTGTTTAAATATTGAGATCTAAAATATTATTTTTGAAAAACATTATGTGATAGGCTATTGTGCTAGAATAATGAGTCAACAGTATGAAGAAGAATTTATCTAATCATGAGTGATGGCAACGTCAGAATTTATCCGTTCCCTATATTTGTGAATCATCAATCACATCCCAATTATAAAATACTTTTGTTTCTCTAACTCTACATGTATTGCTCTTGATATAAACTAATTCTATTAGACTAGTGACCACTGAAGATGTTTGAACTAAGTATTCTTATTGATGCATCAAAATTACCATGCAATGTGATGGCATTGCATGATGATGATTTTCTTGATTCTGTTCGACAAGAGACGGGTGATAATGTTGCAGATTTGTTTGAAGCACAAAGTATCAACTGTACTAAATCATTGTTGATGATATCGAATGTTTTTTCTGTTATGAATATTAAAAGTAAAAGTTTAGATACTCTTAAAAAGAAAATTGGTTATTTACATGATTGTTACGGGCATTATCCTCACAGTATGTTTTTCTTTTTCTTTCTTCTCTCTTTGTCCCTAGATGTGATATCTTCGATCACATAACATCATCTCTTTCCTTTCGTTAAAACCCTCGATGCGTATGATCATATATATATGCGCGTTTTTCCTTTTCTTTTTGGTTCGTTATGTAGCTTAGTTGTTGTACGTGTGTGTGAGGACATTTCTTTGATTTGGTAAAATAAATGGAAGAAGATTTATAACATCCTTATTCCCCTAATAATGATGATGATATATTATGTTGTAAAGCCAGGTATAAGAGGAACTGTAGATTATCTTATTGATTTACTACGACGTAAATGTGTTGAAGATATAAAACTTGCGAAATCTTTGAAACACATTCAATCATCATCGTCATCATCATTGATTGGAACAACAGTAGCATCATCAACGACAGTTAAATCAATATCTAATGTTTCATCGAATAATCCATCAGAAACTTCAACAATTAAAAATTCATATTTATCTAATGATGAACATAAAAAAAAACATAATTAATTTAATAAATAGTTGGCGTGAAAATAACAAATCATAATTTTATTTGTTACAATTTTCTTTAATTGAAGGTCAACATTTTTTTTATTTCTATCTTGAATGGTCCAAGTGATACAATGATGGGTAAAATAAAATGTTGCTGTGATAGAATTATATCATTAATAATTAATCGTGGTAAATTTCAAGTTTCAAATTTCTATCGCCACTTGCAAGATTCACGTAATGGCATTAATTCTAAAACTTTGAAAGAATTAATTAAAAACCGACAACTATCATTATGAAACGTAACGGTTAATCAACAATCATCTTCAGTTTCAAATACAATATCAGATCAAAGATCATCATCCAATTCTCTACCGTCGACTGCTGGACCTGTTATGACGTCATCCGATTCGACAAGTTCTTTATCATCATCTATCACAATAACCGTGCATGATTGCGGATTAACTGAAAAACAGTTATGATCATTATCAACGGCGAGGCAACCAAAAAGAAATATTAATGTTATGGAATCATTACCTGATACAAGACAAAAAGCAAAACAAACCGAGAAGATAAAGCTCGTCTGAGAAACACTATTTTGTTTCATATTGTTCTCGTATCGCTTCTTTCATTGTATATCATAAACAAACTATTTTTTAATTTCACGTCCTACTCTTTGGTTACTTACTGTTGTTTCAAATTTTTTAATTTTAAACAATTATTCGTTTTGTTTTTATTTTCATTAACACTTTAATCTTTTTCAGTTGATTATCAACCTAAAATATAAGCTATTGAGAGTACTCAAATAATCTTTCTAAGTTCGACATTACTAAATACTATATACATTGCTTGTGCAAATGTTTACATCACATTTTAAAAATAACCTGGTCATTCATTGTCCGTAATACAGCATTGAAAAAGAAACATTTGAATAATAAAAGAGACTAAATGATTTTACAAGTAATTTTATCGCTTTAAAGGTCTTTAGAATATCTTAGAGTCCCATGGAGTCCCGAAGTTCCGGAGTTTGCCGTTTCCCTCCTGCACTATCCTGAAAAGTAACAAATGATTTTTTATGTCTTCAAATACTGACATTCACTGTAAAGCAAACAATAGAAATATTTCAATCATTCATTATCTATTTCTGTTTTTTGCATTCGAATCATATGGCCACTGTAGGCTGCCACATTATATCTACAACGTTTCATAGATACCAGAAAAATGATTGAAGTTTTCTTTATTCAACATAAAAAATGTCTTTTCAAAACTTAAACAAAGAATGTTTCAGTTAATGGAAGTTCAAATATTAGCAAATTCGAGAGTGTCGCTAATAAAATACAGATAATAACACATGATTATTCATACAATGGAAGTTTCTGATTTTGATGTGGCTCCCATAGGATGTTTATTTCTATTGACCACTGGGCCTCCCAGCAGGAGGCAGAGTACTAGGATCCACTTTTATTTTTTGCTTACGATTGTACGTATTATCAGTGTCTGAGTTGACAGCAGAATGTGTTTGAGATTGAGGTTGTACTTGTGTTCGAGCAGCCTGTGGCCCATAGCCTATGCGATCCATTTTAACCACAGGTGAAGTCTGCGGGTTTGTTGCGAAAGAGCCATGAGATTGATTGAATTGTGTTTTTTGCGTTGTTATTTGATTCTGAGGTTGCATCATCGTCTGTTTTTGTTGTTGTTGCTGTTTAACCATATCATTTCTACTTTGGCTTCCGTCGGCGTAAAGCGATTCAGCGACACAAATAATAAGGGTATTAGCGTACAACTTTGAAGCCCATTCCTCAGGAATACCTGCTACGGTATAAAATGCACCAGCCAATTGACCATACACGGCAGCGGTGGTATCAGTATCATCGCCGAGATTAACAGCTTTAAGAACACCTTTTTCGAAACAGTTTTCGTCTGACCAAAATGCCCAGAGAGCGGCTTCTAAAGTATTGACAATATAACTAATTCCTCGAATGCCTTCTTCGTAGCCGCTCCGTTTTCTGTATGATCCTCGAGCTACACCTAGAACTTCAGGATGAAGTTCTACAGATTCAAACCATCCTCTATGATTTTCGTAAAATCGCTCATGTAATAGTTGTTCTTTTGATTCTCCATGGATGGTAGCGACGATAAGAGCTGCGTAATACCGACAAGCGTCGATAGCTCTTATATCTCCATGAGTAAGACGAGCACTATCACCAGCATATTTAACAGCATCTTGAGGCTGTCTAAAGTAAAATAGAGGCACAGGAGCAAGACGCATTAGTGGACCATTTCCAACCTGTTGCGATACACCACAATATTCATCGAAACCGGGTACACTCCTAACTTGCTCTAACGACAAATTATCGATTTGCTCATCCGTGAAACCCTGAAAATGATGTTTGAGCATATTTTGTCGACGACAAAATTCATCCAGTGAAGTGCGGGTAGTATTACCGATGTCAAAACATTCACCTGTTGATGAAAGAAAACCTTTTTTATACCACCACTTATACCGTACCATTTGATCGTAGGAATTAAAACCATGACAAATGATAAGTGATGAAGCTAGACATAAAGCCATTGAAGTGTCGTCTGTCCATTGGCCAGCCTGAAGACCCCAAGTTCCTCCACTCTGCATATCTTGGGTAGGATGATCGACAAGGTATTGACGAGGACGAAACTCAACGCTAGCTCCAAGTGCATCACCGACAGCGAGACCAACAAGCGAACCGACGATTCTACTCAATTCGTTCGATGTTGTTTTACTTGGGGAGGATGGGCATGAAATTTTATGAGGCAAAATCCGAGCATCAGGATGTGGAAATTGCATTTCCAAAATGAATATCTTTCTAAAAAAAAAGTAATTAAACATAATATACAAATTTAAGAAGAATGAAAGCATTGACTCTAATAGAGATAATGAAACATAGCAAATATTACTCTCATTCAGCAGAGAAACGTTAAACTTATTCTAAATGTAACTAATAATTCAAAATAAATCAACGATTTAATTCATCATATTATCGATAGACTATGTTTCATTCACTTGTGAGTATGCCTCTTAAAAGTCGTTTTATTATTCAAGGTCTTCATAGAAAAGAAAATGTCAACAGTCAATAAACAGTGACAATTTTCAATAGCCAACGTCGAGATATTTATAACAAAAGCAAAACAAACAAGACACAATTTTTCTTTTCTTATCTCAAGAAAAGTCTAAACTAATTTGCGAGTACTATAGTAATGTGTGATAAAAAATACATTACTCGACAGTTAATCACTGAAGTAAGAAGAGCATAGTGAGCGACAGTTTTTTTTCGAAATGGTCCATGTTACAAAGAACATGTTACTATTGACTACAGTCTCTTTCTTTCTTTTTCTTTCTGTTCTTTTTCGTAACTCCTCTCATTCATATTTGCTTTTAATTTTTTCTATTTCTTGTCTACACTACTGACTTGCAGGGATGTTGACGAGACAGACATCGTATCTGAAATTCAGCATTATGACCATAATAAAAAAAAAAAACTTACAATCAATCTCGTTAGCAACAAGTAACTGTTGTGAGGAATAAGAACAAAAAATAATCATTTTACAATAACAGTTGCTAAAATAAAAGAACGATGCAGACAAATTTTACGAATTTTTTCTTGTGTATTTCAAATGTTGTATTTTAAGTAAACGAATATAAATTATTCGAAGTTTTATCTTAGTTTGCGATTGAAAAGAAACTTTCAAAATCAGCCAAAAATTATTCACATAATGTATTGATCGTTAATAGTCATTGCCAGAAGTCGTCCTTTTACATTTAATAATAGAGAATCAAAACCGAAAGGAGTCTTCACAAAAGAAAAAAAAGTATATCGATATGAATAAATGCAGAAAAGCTTAAAAAGGAATAAGTGAATATAAGATTTTATGACTTTCAATAACTTCACAAATATCTTAGAGTAGTTTCCAATAGCATTCCACTTGAAATGATAACTATATTGACTAGTATTATATTTATGGATAAAATTTCGTAATGTGGGTGTAAGTGGTGGATGTCTTCTTTTCAAGAGAGATCACGATTCGCACCCACACCCATTCCTCGGTGCTATGATGAGCTTATTGATCCCGTCGTTGGTTGCTGTGTTTTCATCCAGGATCCAGCGAGTTTTACATGCATGTATTCTGACGGTCAATTTCTCATTCTTCAGTGCAGCTACCAGCTGATTGATGAGTTCGTTGGTAGCTGCTTTTTCACCGATATTGCGGAGAGCTCGGCATGCACTTATTCTGACGCCCGAATTTTTATCATGAAGTGCATTCACCAGCCTGTTGACCACGCAGTCGTTCGCTGCTTTTCAGCCATTTTCCAGAGAGCTTCACATGCACCCACTCTTACATCATCCTTCGAATGGTTAAGTTGGCGGAGAAGCAGCTGAGTGAAATTATACTGTAGTTATGATAATTCTAATTTGAAATGAAAAGGTACACACGATTTTTGATTGTCGGATCGTTGCTTTTGAGCAACTTCATAAATAAATTTTCTTTTTTTGAATCATTGACCAAAGCGGTCACTCTTCAAAAAGACTGCACGAGGTGCTCATCTAGCTGAAGGTACATTGTCAACATAGCACTTATTATCCATTTCGTTATAGAATTTATTATCTGTTTGTAGTGCAGGAGAGTTGGGTGACCATCAGTCTCTTTAAGGGTTAAAATAATGAGTTGTGTGTGTTTTATACCAAGAAGTTCCATTGGTTCCTCCGTTATAGTTTCTCACAATGTATCGATAGATGGCTGATAGTTTTGTTGATGTAGCAGGCCGGATAGAAATGTGAAAACTGTGTTACAGCGCTGGCCATATTTGTGGGTTCTGATAAAGTCGATAGCCTTCTGCTGATTGGAGTTCTATGGATCGTTAAGAGCGTTTACTAGGTAACATGCTGCAATATGTTCTTCAAAGGTAAGATGTACGAAGTAATGATGTTGATTGGTGAGATTTTGGTTGCCAGTGGGAGAACAATTGGCAGATTATAAAATACCAATATTGAATATGTGTGGATATTGGAATAATTTGCAATTCACCTCATTTAGCGCTGCCTTGAGTAGTTGTGAGGATAAAATGCTTGACTCGCCTGTCATGTCGTTAAATGCCTGGCTTTCTATGACTGTTAGTTCGGTTTGGCACTGTTCATAAACATATCTTTTATGCATTAATTTAATTTTTTATATTGATGTTCCTTTTTGTCTCTCCAAATATCGTCGACAGAATCATTCCATAATGTCGTCATACAGTGATGTAATCGTGAGTGTTTTTGTTGCTGACCAATCATTATCTCCCCAAACTCTGCAAATCAGCTCAAAGATTATCGAAATACGTGCAACACCCCACATGTTAGGGTTCAATTTTAAGAAGTTTAATAGATTGCGACTGCTGACTAAAGCATTCTCTAATTCATCGTTGATGTGGGGTATTAAGTAATTAAATAGTTTTTTAAATCTTCGAGATGTGGAGGTATGTTGACGGGTAATTCATTGTAACCGTCAAGAAGCCATAGGATTTTGTTTTTGTTGAACAGAGTTTTCAACATTTCATCTTCTCTGTCCGACAGAGCTCGACTATTGAAATATTCTTTTTTCACAAGGTCAACTAGAAAATAGCTAGAGCTCTGTAGATAGCGATCGCCCGTCAATCTGCGTAGCCGCATCAAAACAACTAGGTCATATTCTGATCAAATTTCGCCTTTTGCCCATCGGTAAGCAACGTAACGGCAAAATGTTGATTTTCCGATTGCAGCTCGTTCAAGAACTAGCAGTTTCTTTGCCGAATTCTTGCATTGTTCAAAAATGTCTTTGTCATCTATTTGAGTTTTTGCGCCATAAATCTCCTCACATGTATGAATGATCGTATCCCAATATTGAGTCACACGAAGTTTGTTTTATTCTTCTTCTTGTTCTTCTGTTTTTACAATGGCTAAATTAATAGTTTTCTTCGATTAGAAAAGGCTTGGCTGGATTCATTAAACGTTGAATACAACTGTTTTGCCTATGTTAGCATTTAATTAGTTCAAATAGATAATTTGGTTCGTCGACAGAGTGTGTTCGTAAGTATTGCAGTGCCGGGTACAGACTGTTAATTTGATCAATAAGTTGTCTTGCTTTTGAATGAATATTCGATTGGGAAACACCGTGAAAGTTCATGTATTTGGATTCTTCGGTAATCTTCTCCAGCCAATCCGAAGGCTTCCAAATTTTTGTCTCACTCAGCATACATGAAATAATTCGCTTGTCTTGTTTCTGTGCATACTGGAGTTCGAGTTGACAGTATTCAGACTTCTGATAGAGCAGTGTGATGAAACAACATACGACTACAGCATTTTCTACTCCTTCAGCCAAGCTAAGTAAAAGAACAGTGCAGTACAATTATTCAAGCGTTCATACCTTCTGTAGGCACTGTTCATCAGACCCTCATTGTCAGGAGACCAAACAGGAATATGCTCTTTTTGTAGAATACAGCGAAGCTCGGATACAATATGTTGACTGTTCGAAATATAAGACAACGTGACGTGTTTTTCTGCAGGAACTGCAGTGCTAAAAGATGCACGTTGAATATTAATGAACAATCAAATGGTAATGAGAGTGGAAGTTTTAGTCTAATAACCATTGATAAGAAGAAAACGCCCCATTCTGAAACTCCTGAACCTCGTGAAAATGTACATGGAAATGTTGACGTTGACGTTGTGAATTTAGGTGTGGATAAGTACCATTGCTTCTATCATTCATACTCACTGTTACGATCGGATTGTTCCCATCCGCTCGTAAGACGAATAGAACACACCGTTTCTAGTACAGTGGTAGTATAACTGTCTGGAAAGCAGGAGATGCATGATTTGATTCCATACGAAGGGGATTATTCTTTTGTTCCGTTCTGGTATCATACCATCACGCTACTGTCTCACTCATAACAACTTATAACACTCACTCTGTATATGACCTAAAAAGTCAGGATTCTATCGAGTAAACAACAGTATATCCTTTTAACATCCATCTTAGATTACTCCAAATCAGAAATAGGGCAACCACAATCCGAAACTACAGCGTGGGATACGACATGCTTGAGCTCGGAAATATTTGTGATATAAAAGCTTGAGTATGACAAGATTTGGTGTTGATGTGAAAGTATAAGAATCTTACGAGCAATGTCATCGGAATTAGGTTATCAACTGAGAGCACTATATGGCAATATTCTTTGTCCATCTCGCGTCGAAATGATGCACATAACTGTAGCTGACTCTTGCATCGCTTTTCACCGTGTTTGCTTACAATAATACATGGAAGCAGCTGTTTTTTCGAAATGTTAATTTTCATTTCGATCAGCCTGCTTTCGTCTTCAATTGAAATGGCTTTTGCTGTATTTGTAACGATTGCAGACTTTTAGAGACTATCGTAACGTACCTAAGTAACCAGCGGAAAAGATTTAAGCACTGACTTGATACAACGCTCAAATCTAGTACGGATCGCCATAGTGTTCTGACGTTATTACATTGAGAACACACTAGGATTTTACTAAGGCCTTTCTTGATAAGAGCATGTTGCTTTTTGCAGTATTATAAATAACTGACGTGGTAGAGAAATGTTTTCTTCAATTAAACTTAAAATTGGAAAACAATGGTATCCATTGTGGTTTACCATAGCTCACACAGTTCTTGTTCTGATAAAATGTGTCGAATTTAGAGATGAACAAACCCATGATTTAGTAGGTATCGGCTACAGCCCTAAAAATCCCTCAATTTTTTGGACCAGGTCTCTATCCCGATTTCAAAGATTTTTTTTTTGAGAAGTTCCGAACTCTGTCTGTCGTCTCATAAAACATTAAGTAGTCTTTTAAAAAAAAAATCGAAATTCTGAAAGAATTTGAATATCTTAAAGGCGTAAGTTACGCAACTACATAAGAAAAACTTTTGTGAAACACGAAGAGCATTGAGTGTTGAAGTATACAGCGAGAAAAGTGCCTGCCCCCCCCCCCTACCCAAACAAACCCCGATAGACATGGCAGACATTTCCAACGTGCTTGGTTACAGCACCACCAAAAACCATGACATATACACAGACAGGTAGAATCTATAGGACGTTGTAGCGTTATGCGAGCACGAAACTGAAATAAAAGATGCAGTGACTAATAGAAAACAACATAAAATCGAAATGATCGACTTCAGGATGGCAACTGTTGAAGAAGAATGCCGCCTAGATTATAACAGCAGAATTCAGAAAATATTTCAAATAAACAGGAAAGGCGAAGTGCACTCGATTCTATCTATTTTCGTTTTCTGAAGATATTGCTCCTTTAATAACTGGTTGTCTATTGGTAAGAATGAATCAATTTGTATCGCGGATAAGACATATAACACGATTCCGATGAAAAGGTTTCTGCTTACATATTAAACTATTCAGCGAAGTTTTTCACTTTTCAAAAATATGTGTAGTTTCGAAATATTTATTTAGAAAAAGCTGCTATCGCAATCCCTGTGGGATTACAATGTGAAACCCGATCTAAATCTTGTTTCTAATCCACAGAAAAGTTTTTTTGTGGAACTCACATATATTTTCGAAGAAAATAGTGAGTGTAAGTTTTAAGTTCAAGGTTTCGCGGCTCCCTCCCCTCCTTACAGACAGGCCCCCATTACAGACCATAGCAATGAAAGAGAACATTACAGACAGCCCCCCCCCCCCCCACCCAACCCCTCACAACCC